AAGTCACAATGGCACACGCCGGTTTACTCAGTGGTAATATTTAAAAAGTGGCTTTAGAGTGGAGGGTTTTAAACCCACCCTTTGCTCCATTGTCATGTACAATGTTAGGAACATAAGGGATCCTTGGGATGCGAAAGGAAAATTGCTACGTTTTTAGCATTTCTCTCTCCTTTTTTTTTCTTGTGTCCTGTTATAGCCAATATAGCTCTGGGGAATGATTTCCCAGAGCTAGGTGATAGCCCAACACATTTGCTTTCACTAGCAGACCAGTATGACTGTTGCCATAAGGTTCTGTGTTAACAAAGAAAGACAGTCCCATTTAATGAATCATTGTTATGTGTGTGTGTGCTTAATCTTTCAGTAGAGGAACTCCACTGAGGCTTTCTTTAATGCTTAAAGTGTGATATGCTTTTGAGGGGAAAAATTAAACAAGAGAAAAAAATGGATCGAGATGGTGATCAGAAGAAAGAAGGATAAAGACCTAAATATGGAGTCATTAAATGACAGCATCCTGCTGCTGCAAGTGTAATGGTAAATGGCCTGTATTTATAAAAGTGTCATCTCAAGTCAGGGGACTCCAAAGAGCTTTACACTACATTCAGTAATTCACCCATTTGATACACACATTCACAAACTGATGGGGGCAAGCTACATTGTAGCCACAGCTGCCCTGGGCTTACTGAAAACTGAGGCTGCCATACACAGGCGTCCACTGAACCTCTGACCACTAGGGGTGTCAACAATAATTGATTCAGCGATGCATTGCAATGCGGGGCATGCACGATTCAGCATCGATGCGGCAACGTGCCATAATCGATTATGTCACTGTTTATTTTCTGGCCTCAAATGGACAAGTTGTGAAGTTTCAATTACTTCCGGGGGCATACCAACAACAATCAAGATGGCTGAGGCGCAGGGAGATGACCGCGATAGACGGGTAGGCCTAATTAAAAATGCACCAAAAGCTTGGAAAGCGGATATCTGGGCACATGTCGGATTTTACAAAGTCAATGGGATTTTGATGCATCGCAAGGCATCGCAGAATCGAATTGAATCGAATCGTTACCTGGTGAATCGTAATCGAATCGTGAGGGCAATGCCAATGCACACCCCTACTGACCACCACCAGTAGGCAATGTAGGTGTAGTGTATAGTCCCAGGACACAACAATTGAGACTGACAGATCCGGGGTTCAAACCAGCATACTTTAGGTTGCAGGAAAAACTTGGCTTCTTATGCCAATGATGCCCCATATGGTGAATCCAGATAATGAATTGGGATCCAGTATGGTTAGACCGTGATGTTACCAGCACAGGATGCAACATTTTAATCCATTAGAGTTGTGTGCTAAAGATGCAAACTCACTCCATAATTGCTACAAAACAAGCAAAAAGGAAAGGGGAAAATTGTAACACAGACTTGTATTAAATATTTTCACGTTTTTAAAAGGAAGAATTGCAACTGTTTTTCTCTTTCAAAAGTGGACAATTAACAGAGGATTAGGGTCTGAATATGTTTTACTTTGCTCCATGTTTTCTAGTTTTATTGGTTTAATTCTTATTTTGTTGTGTTTTCTGGATATATGAGTTCTTAGGGTTTTATTTGGCGCTCTTTTATGTTGCTTTCCTTTTCCCTTGCTCCTTAGACTGCTCTCTTCACACCTGCTCCCAATCTGCTCGTTAGCCCTCTCTAAATCCTCTATATACTCTCCTTGTGCCGTTCCTCAGGACTGGTTCCCCGCCATACCTCGTCTGAAGGCTGATTTATACTTTGAAACTAGGTCGCCCCCCTCCGCAGACACTCTGCTGCACCTCTACCAAATTGTAGGTGACCGCAGACATTGCCACAGGCAGGAGGCCGGTTTGTTTTGTTTGTATGACTGCAATTGCGGAAAACAACTTGTGAGGTGCACGAGAACGCTGGGACCCTTTTTCCACCTGGATCCCCGCTCTCTTTCTCGCCCTCATGTCCCTCCGTTGTCAGACAAACTTGCCGCCACTTCCTCAACGCCTCGGCTGTATCTTGACCCACAGCGTATAGCACAGACCATGATCAAAATTGAGCATAAATCAAAAATGTCTGTGTCAAGCTCACTGCGACACACTGCTGCGGGAGTATAACCAGCCCTTTACTCTGTCCTACCTCGTCTTACCTTGGATTCCTGCCTATGTTAAACTTTTTTCTCTAATTAAAACTGCAAGAAGTCACCTCAGCCTCTCTGCCTCTGCATTTGGGTCCTCAAACCTCAACCTAACCCTGACAGGTAGGCAGGGAAGCTACACAGGAACATTGCAGTAAGATTGAAAGTAAAAAATAACCAACACAATTCCAGTGTGAAAAACACTTTTATTCACGGTCTGAATCTGCAAGATGTGCGAATTGGACAATCACGCATTGTCAAAATTGTCTGGAAATGGGCTGAGTTCAAGAATAGAGAGGCATTTCCTATACAACAACTGAATAAAAGGGCCTAAACAGCAGTGGCGGTGGGTGTGAAAATGCCAATCACATAGAACAACAGATTGGGTACGCTATTCAAAGAAGAAAGTCACAATCAAAGCAAAAATACAACACTTTTTGTATATCTCGAAATAAGTCTGAATTCTCAAAAGAGCTAGAGGTAGTCTAATTATGCTGCAGTGAAGGACTTTATTTTAAAGATAGACCAAATTGTAAAGTAGAATGGGAAGCATTATGTGACCTCATCCCAAAAGACTAACTTCCTCCCACAGGGACAAGTACCTGTTCATTTTACCACAAAGGCCTCATTAACACAAACCCCTTGCCATCATTAAGACATCCACAATAAAATTAATTGAAAGACAGATTAAAAATAAATTAAGAAAAATGCAATTCAGAATGCCTACGTGCACTTCATAAATCACCCTGGCAAAGCCAGGAGCTGGCTCACCATAATTAACTGCAGACTATTTATTTTATCCTGACGGTATAAATTAGAATTCAGACGCACAGATTATATTAGGGCTGTCTGCCATGCGGAACTGCTGAGGGGTGTGCAGAATATTTTAAGGATACAAAGAGGAGAACAGAGGGAGGGTATAGGAAAGAGATAGATAGTATGTAGAAAGGCAAACAATGTGTAAATGCATACAAAGCAGAAAGATAACATTTGCGTCCTCCTAGTGAAAGTATTTTTCCAGGCAGTGCATAAAGAAACAGGAGACAATGCAATTAAGATCAACAATCAAGTGTGTGATTAAATGAAACAACACACTCTAGATTAAATGAACCATTCCATCAGCTCCTTGTCATTGAGAACAAGATTCAAATTCTGCTGCAAGTTTAAGTGGTGTTCCTGGCATGAAGCCTGTGATCGGTAATAGGCTGGTAACATAACACAACCCAAGAAATTTTTCCTCATTCTTCCCTGCTGCTTCTTGCTCTGCTCTCCTGCTGTATCACAACCTGTCCATTTCACATGCAAATGGAGACTAAACCTCTCCTGCCAGTCTGCCTCAGACACCCCCCATAGACACACTTGTTTTCTTTCAGTATCTCCCTTGCTATCTATGCACCTCTCAGTGTTACAGTCAGCATTGGCCACACACTGCCTCCTCGTGGGCACATTGCCCATACTGGCACAGAGCCAGAGCTGTTCTGCCACACGTGATGGACAAAACACACCCTCCCTCTCAACATGCTCAAATTCCCCATGCATCCTTTTATCTGAATGCCTGCGGCCGTCTCCTCTGTCTTTTTTCTGCACCGCAGCTGAGCTCAACACTTTGAAAGTATGCCCTCCAACCAGCCTGAGAAAAATGCTAGCACTCTAGCTCTAGTACTGCGAGGGAACCAATGGAGCCTATTTGAATTCTTGGCTATTATGCAATCACACAGAACATGACACTAAGTTACCTTTAAACAATGTTACATCAATGTGCTGAATCAGGTATGAAGTGAACCGATTGATGATATTAACTTACGAGAGAAAGTCACATTTAGAAAGAAAACACAGCCTTAGTTTGAGTTGTTAATTCAACTATTGATAAGACAAAATAGGTAAAGGCTGTCACCAAAATCAACAGTAAATCCACATAGATACTATTAAAATGTGCTTTGGAGCAACTCAAAGAATACAAACACAAGCGAGGGTTCATTTCTTTGTGTTTCAAAGTAGAAATGGGATAAGTTGGTTGGAATGGCTGAATTTGAACATATTCTTATCAGACAATTTAAGATTACCAGTTACACTCAAACACTGCATCTTACCTGTATGTCAAGCTTTTTCTATTGTGCTGCTCCCCACACAGACTGTATTTAAATCCTATTGTTTCATAGGAGTAGATATACACCCCTGATTTTAATCTCAGCGTCAGCAGCATGTGTTTAGTGCCTTTTTATGTTTTGACCTTCTAAAACTGTTTGTTATTTTGTTTTTTTGGCCTATGCGATGTGATCCAAGAGTTTATTGTTATGGGCTTTCTTGGTGTCAGACCTTTTAAGGGATTGAAAAATAGGAAATTGATTTATAAGTCATGAAATATCTGCATATCACCTGTCGACACTGCTGCTACATCTAAACTAACCAAACGTACTTAGCAAGTTCTTTTAAGCTTGTACCTCAAGAACTAAAGTGAACCTTTAACAGTCATGGAACGCGGAATGACCAGTCCGCCTCAGATGTATAATTTGGTTTCCTCTGCGAGTAAAAAGCCTTGGAGGTGTGCATACACAGTAGTCATGTTTGCTAATGTACATGGCTAGTGCTGGACTTTATTTACAAGAAGGGGGAAATAGAAAAGGGGAAATAGAAAACATAAATAAATAACAAAAAAAGAAAGTAAAGAAAATAAAGACATACCTACTGGTTACATTGTACAAACTTTATACTATTACCTCCTTTACATATTGTACAGACAGAGAGCAAATGTGCAGTGCTGCATATGGGCAGAAAACGTGGTATGAAAAATGACAGAAGGGAGGGGTAACTGCAGACCAGAATATAATGGTGCGCTCCTGCGAAGGAAAAATAATCATACCTTGTGGAAGGGGGGAGAGTGGGGGAGGGAGGGGCAAGAAGAAGAAGAGTCTGTGCCCTGCAGCAGGGAAATGGAGCTCCACTGCTAGGCTACTGGATGCCTGATTTCCTGGCAACACAGCGGAAGAATTTCCTTCAAATGGAGGCAACTAGCATCTGTTCCCTAAAAAACATACAAAAAAATGTACGCACACATATTAGAGGCAGTACTGCAATGGATGATATGGTCTGCTAGTTTATATTTCATAATTCATATGTATGTTTTCTTACATAAATGAGAGTTTAATTCATTAAATGAATTAATAACACAATTTATGCAGTAACACTGGTTTTAGCCATTTGCAGTTCCCCAACAACTTATGATCAGTCCAAAAATCATGTAGCAGTTCCCCATATGGCCGTTAGGTGTCTCTCTTTCACTTCGCATCACTGAAACTGATTCCCTCTCACTAACTCTCTCATGGAAAAAGGAATCCTCCACCCCTGAACTCCCATCTACACATAATATATACACCACCATTTGAAAATGGCAGCTTTTTGAAAATTCACCTTGATTATCAGACATTAAAAGTGACTTCTCCAGAGCTGAGTGTCTGGCTAGGGGGATGGCTGCAGACAGCAGAACAATGCAGCAGGCTTGGTTTTAATGCCTGGTTGTGGTGTGCAGGGAGGAGAGGAGCCAGCCCTTTGTTCTCTCCTACAGCCAATTATTTTCTACGTGTGCCTCTTTTCACAACAACAAGAGAGAATTTAATTTTAATACACTTTCTGGAAAGATGAGAAAAAAACCCATCTACAGTATGAGATGGGGACTAGATCAGCAGTTGGGTATATATGCACACATTTCTGTATGAGACAGAGATGGATGACAGGGGAAACAACAATGACATCTATCCTAACACACACAGCAACAAGAATCTTCTAATGCAACATGCTAAAAACTACAACAGTCTAAGTCCGAAAGGCATACTAAAACACAATAGAGCACCATCTCGCCACATTGAAAAAAGCAATATAAGCAGACAACCAAAGTAACCAAAAAAAGCATAAGTATAGCTCTGCAGATGGTACCTAAAATGTGTTGGGAAAAAAAACATTGCAAAAATAGGGAATTCCTGATCAAGAGTCATAACAACAAAACCCAGCATTACTGTTGGTGGTTATGCGTCCAAATATTTTTCTAATTGGAAGGGCACTTTATCTTGCTGTCAGGAAGGCAGTAAAAGCCAGTGGTGTTCTCAGAAGGAGCAAACAAAGCTTGCTGGCCTTTTATTAACACTGGAGCTCAGACATACACTTCTGCTGGAGGCTTTCATCAGAAACCTGGACCTTAACATATAAACAGACAAGCATATACACATGAAGCAGTGTTACTAAATGATTACAGTGAGAAGCCAAAGCAACCACTGTTGAACAATTCAGCTGCTGCTTTCTTCCCCTACACACACATTTCATCTAACACCAGAAAATTATTGTTGCCAGCAGGAATAGAAGCTCTTTTTCAAGGCTTACAGGTTAAAGTAATAATAAAACAATGCGTGAAAAAAAAACACACAAGAATGAGTTCAAATCCACTAACAACAAAGCAATATACAAAGAAAATATAAACTTCAGTACAACCAGAGTAGAAGGCTGTAAAAACCAGCCAATGTGGAATTTTTAGGTCACAGGAGAGTAAGAAAAAAACAAAATACAGCAAGAATAAATATAACAGCACAAACATGTGTATATGCATCATGCAAAGCTTTTTTTTTTTAAGATGAATTTTAAAATACTGGATTTATACTAAAAAGCTCAAAGAGAAACAGGTGCACCTGTACACACAGTAATACACACTCATGCAACCAGAATGGCTACACACAAGCTAAATTAAATTTCAGTCCTTGGGCAGACTACTAAACTGCTTGTGTGTGGCACCTACTCTCCAGCACGGTAAAACCAATTCTCGGGAGATGGTGAAATTAAAGGGCAAATTTCTGCCTGTTTATGGTTCTCACTCTGTTTGTCTCTTAATCAAATGTTTTATTGGCAATCATTTGGTCCTAAAAGTCACGTTTTTGTGAGGCAGCTGGCATGGCGACAGCAGCTGCTGGATAGATAGCACCCTTCTTCCGTTTATTTACACCTGTATAAGAGGCATTAATTAACCTGGTGTAGAAAGTTTAAATGACCCTCCTGCATCTGTTAAGTTCACATTTTCATACTGTATAAAAATATCAGTGCTGTTTATCAATTTGTATTAAAGCTTGTAAACAGAGTCTATCTGGAGCTGACTTTTGAACAGGAAAACATTGGAACCTAATTTCTCCTCTATAAATGTAATAATGTTATAAAAATTAATATTTTGCATGCACTGTTCACTACTTCAGTAACATCAGACTAGTTTGTTTTCAGGTCTGTGCAGCTGTTACTCCACCTGCTGAAGCAAGCAGCCATGTTTAACGATTAATCATGTAGTGGTAGACTCCTCACTTCAGTCTTTTGAAATCTGTAGAAATAAAGAATGTCAGTTAGAAAAAAACTTGCAGAAGTTACATTCTTTAAAGCTCTACATTTGCTTTTGTTTTGTTTTTTGGCTGTGGGTTTTACATTTTCTACTGTACAAAACACTGTTTCACCTTGTGGGTATTTTTGAAAGATATTTTCCAACCAAATTTCTTGGTTTGATTACAGATGTAAAGATTTATATCTAAAAAATATATATAATTCAATTTGAAGTAGTTCATTGAAATAAACATAAATACAGTCCAAAAGGTACATTAAAACTTTTGTATACTATGTTCAATGTTTTGGATCATCAAAGTATTTTTGGTAAAGCATTCTAAATACACCTTGTACAGTCCTCTGTATATTGCATCAGTAAAGCATCATTTTCTGCCCTGCAAAACCCATCCCTCTCTGCTGCTCCCTCCTCTGGTTTCTGGCAGCGGTAATCTGTTTCTTAGCTAGTGCTACTGGGATTAGGTGGTTGACTGAGGATAGGATATATGAATTGTTAAAGTGGAGAGCACCGTGTTGCAGCAGGGTAGACAAAGTCAACAAAGGTGACACGGAAAGAGAAGAGAAAGATATATATATATATATATATATATATATATATATATATATTATATAATATAGTCGTGGTGCTATAGCTGGTTCACAGCCACACTGAGCTTCCGTCTGGGACACAAGTATCCCTTCTGGATGGATCACCTGGACAACAGAGGTGTTCAGACAAGAGCAGCATCATGCTCTTCCTGGTAGAGAGTGTGGCAGAACAGGCAGAACAGGGATGAGAATGCCAGGTGGGCTCAACACCGCCTGGAGCCTAGGAACCACAGCAGGCTGTTGCAGCAAAAGCAGAAGCTGGCCAGGGCTAGCTCTGGATGCTAACAGTGGGAGATCAAAGGAAGACAGTAATACATCATCAAAGTCCACCAGTTAGAGAGGGCAAATTTTCTCAACTTTAAGATAGGGTAAAGGCAACTTGTCCTGTGCTGCCGGGACATACATTGCGGGATACACCCTTGACTCCTGGAAGGATTGGAGAATGGTGAGTTTTACGATGCCGTCAGTCGAGGACATTGTAGATGTATTTAGTTTGGATTCATCATACTCACATTTGGAGGACACAGTATGCATCCACAATTACAGAGGAAGTCAGCGGCAATCTGGGCGATGACTAGGCTGCCGGCCTCGGCTGATGCACTCACAAAGGCTTTGAGCGAGCAGGACCATGAGCTGAGCCATCAGCTGTATGCGATAAAACGCACGCTGGCTGTGGTTGTTGAACTCAAAGGTGAGAAGGGATAATATCTTGGATGTGCATGTTCGCTTCAAGGTGGAAAAGCCCATCAAATGCAGAATGTTGGATTTAGCACGTGGACCCCATCGACAAAGACTTCAAGGCTGACGAAAAATTCAGTGCAGCTTGTTCTCAAAACAAAAGTGCATTTTGGATTTCAGCCTCCCCCTTATCAAAACTCCCCTTGATGCTATGGCGGAAGGGTCGAGAACTGCCGGCTCCCCACTCCCCTACCTGCGCACACCTGTGGATGCATTCAGAAACATAGCACCGGTTGATATACTTTCCATCATATAAAGTACAATGGCCTCTGGACAGCATTCATGGACAAATTGCACAAACTCACTCACACACAACTGATGCTCAAATACCACATAGACTCATACGTGAAACCCAAGCCTCCAATGTAACCCTCTGCTGAAATGTTTGTCTCATGTTATATGTGCTTTTCTTGTGCTGAGGTTTTTTGATATCTCAAACTATAACCAAAAGCTCTAGAAGCCAAAATCTTTTTATCCAGACAACACACACTGTGTTTCACTACAAAACCTATATCCTAATACTTTGGTAAATTTAAACCTAACAATTTACATTTTAAATTCAACAGATGTAAAACCTATTGCCGATGCTCTATCAGAACAGCATACACTGTCAGATTGGCATACATTGTTCGAATAACCATCTGTGTACATGGGCAACAGAGGATTATCCCTACATCAAATTTTAGAAGCAGTGTACTGACCAGCAAAAAACATGTTTATTTCAACTAAAAAAAATGAAAATCACTCTCATTATACTGATATTTCTTGGATGAAATGGTGAGACATGATTCAAGTTTCAGGGATGTTGAGAGATACCTAAAACCATATTAGCCAATATTTGTCATAAAACGAGACAGATGGAGTTGGACAATAGGAACTTTCAAAATCTTTAATGACAGATATAATTAAAGCAAAACAGAACCGGACGTGGGCTGCTATGGATAAGCAGGTCGCAGTGGCTGCAGTAGGGGGGCGGGGCTCCACCAAATCACTCTGGAGGGAGAAACACAGGAAGGCAATGGACTGCCAAACGAGATGTGGCTCCAAGCCGTCCAAAGTGTCCCTGATGCAGCAGCCCCAGTGAGCAGGCAGGAGACTGATCAAGGTCAGAGAAACAGTTCAAAACTGAACAGTTGCCAGGTCCAGGAGTCTGTAGCCCAACCACAGGGTTCCGATCTGAACAGATCAGAACAGAAAGATCCATGGTTCCAGGAATTCACAAAACGTTCAGGCAAGTTCAGAGTTCCAGGAGTCCAGCAGCGAGCTCTGAGAGAGACCCCCTAAGATGGAGACAGGCAGGCTCAGTGGTTAAGGGACAGAGACAAGACATGGTACCGGAATTACTGCAGAACTTTAAACTGGTCTCCACCTTGGATCCAGGGTTACAGGAATTAAAACTGTCCTTCTCCACATTCCGAGCAAAAACCCTGAGGGCTCTGAGGAGAAGGACCAGAACTGGCGCTCCCCCCACACGCCGAGCCAAAACCCTGAGGGTTCAGCGGAGAAGAGACAGGACAAGATCAGGAGACAGGAGACAAACACCAAACCCTCTCAATCCACTGACCTCCAGGGAAGGGAACATGAACAGGGACTTAAATAAAACTCATGAAATAAACATGAATAACTGACACAAAAACATAACTTAGACTTACACTTAGAGCCTTAGACTTTATTGTAATTTTGTACACAGAGAGTGTATACAAAATAAAATTTTGTTTTGTACAGCTCTCATGACATTTCCAGTTCTTAAAGTGCCGCAGTGATCAAATGTAAACATTAGAGAAAAGAAAAAAACATTGGTGCAAAAAAATGCATTGATTAATGTGAGAACAACTTCCTTAATTGCAACACATTCATTAAATCTTTTCCTCTAACTGCTGGATTGCAGCCTCTATTTCCTGTTCACTACAAACATGCATGACGACTTAATGTGGAGAAAGTATAGCTATCTGGGTTCTTACAACTTCTTGGAAGACTGCCCCAACTGCATAATCAAAAGAGATAACATGGGTGTTCCTTCTCTCAAGCCAAGATGTCAGCTGGGCTTTCTTCTTTTGTCAATTTAATTCTGCACTTGTGAAATTAAAAAAAAAATGCAGCAACTCAAAAATAACGATAGCTTATCAGTGCTTCCTTAACTACAAATATAAATAAAAACAAATATAAATTGGTAGCTGATATTTTTAGGGATAATTGTAAAGGGGGACTTCTACCATTCAGGTCTGCTTATCATTCTCTCATAATTGGCACTATTACCAGCTGTAATTTGCTAGATATCTACTGATAAACTAGTCTAACAGCTGAAGAAGTTTCCAGTAACAAATAGTGTGGCAGGAGTTTTAAACTGCTTTCAGTGACAGATTAAACAACCATCAGCTGTGAGCTCTCAAGCATGTCTAATGCAATCAGATCAAAATCTAAGCGCAGCAGTTAAAGGGGCGGGACAATCAATCCTATTGGCTGATGTTAAATCAGCCTGTGCAAGCTATCGGTTGTTTAATCTGTCACTGAAAGCATATTTCACAGTTTTTAAAGGCTTTTAGCACTTTTTATCTATATTTATGAACATATTTATTAACTTATTTTTAACTGTATTACTTTTTAACTCTTATTGAGAATAAGACATAAAATCTATACTTTTTAAGTAGAAAAGGTATTGTAAAATAAGACATTAAATCAAGTTCTATACATTTTTTACTTGTGGTTTTAACACTGGGTTACACTGTGACCCTTGGAACATGCAAGTCCCTTTGCATGGGATGGGTTCTTTTGAAATGACAAATTCAGGCTCTATCAAGGCACTGGTAAAAGCAATGCTTAAGCCATGGAATAGGGACTGGGCAATGCATACGAGTGGGTTTTATAAGTGGCTGTAATTAGCCTTTTTGGCTGAGTGGTTTGTGTCTCTGAACGTCTCACAGGATTTGTGGTCTCAAGACTTGGGTTGTTGGGTTTGTCCTGTTTTGCCATGTGCCATGATCGTGGTTTTGGACATTGAGAACCAGTGTCCACATTTCATCTTGACATGATGACCAGAGAAGAAAATACAATTTTGTCTCATAAACAGCTGTAAGACCTCTGCAACCCCCTTCCCTCTTTTTCAGCCACCTGCCACCACAGGAACTTCCACAGACATGTGACCTTATTCCTGTGAGCCACTTTTGTATCATTTTGGGTTGCTAGTTTGTAGCTTTCTTGGAGAGTTGTTCTCAGTTTTTCAACATATTGTGAGTGGGACTTAATTTTTTCTGTTTTGGAGAGGTAGGTTGAATGCAAGTTCAACAGGTAATCTAGGTTGATGACCAAACATTAATTCATAAGGAGCAAATCCAGTTGTGTCATTTTTGGTACAATTGTATGCATGGACCAATGGCTTTACAAAGTTGCGCCACTGCGTTTTGTATTTTATGTTTCAAGGTCCCAAGCATACTTAACAAGGTGCGGTAAAAACGTTCCACATGATTCTCCTTAGGATGATAAGGAGTGGTTCGAATCTTGGGAATGCCATGATCTTACAAAGTTTCTTGATCATTATGTAATCTTCAGAGATGCCATAATGAACTATAAAGTGATCCCAAAGACATTTTGCCACGGTTTGGGCTTTTTGGTTAGGAGTTGGAATGGCTATAGCATACATTGTAAAGTGATCAGTCAGTATGA